GACCTCCTCTAATTCCAACTGCAAATTGATTTCCAAATCACACAAGAACGAAAAGCCAGGGTAAGCCTGGGACTTCTAAATTCCTTCCAATCTGGCAAGGATATTTTTCTTCTTTTTTTTCCCTATAAAACCAAAGACTTCCCTATTCCAAACAAGAATCAAATTTTTAAAATGAAGCAGACTTTTGTTAATATCATCATCAAACGTCCAGGATTTTTCCATAAAGCTTTGGAAGCTCTCATGCTCAATCCACATAGCTTTAAAATGAAAAGGTTTAGTGCCTCTAAATTGTAAACTCGCAGCATCCAAATACAAAACCAGGGGGTTGTGATCAGAAAAATTTGTACAAGAGCATACCTTTACTAAGTAATTCTGGAAAGTAGACATGAACAGAGCGTTACCCAGGACTTGGTCTAATCTCTTATACATTATAAAGCATCTCATCAACTTTGGCCCTTTCTAAGTAAATTTAGGACCATTAAATCCCAAACCTATCAAACTGCAATCCTTTATTTGGTCACTCAACCAATGGATTCTGTTTCCATTCGCATGTCCTCCACCCACACGTTTTGAATTTTCAGCAATGTCATCAAAATCCCTACTCATAGCCCAAGACTCGGCGATACTTTGGGACAAAACTTTAAGTTCCTCCCAAAGAGTCTGACAAAGGCGCAAATGTGGAATTGCATGAATAGCAGTTAGAAGAAAAGACGGTTTCCTTGTAACCTCGCATCTTAGGTGCAACACTTGTTTGTTGCTGCTGAGAATTGAAATGTTGACAGCATCACTCTTCCAGGCCACAACCAATCCACCTGAACATCCAGTGCTCGGAACAGAGAAAAGGCTAGCAAAACCCAAGGAGTAAAGGCGGTGTAACTTTGATTCACTTTCACACATTGTTTCTGATAGTATCAGGACTGCCGGCGTTGAGTTGCCAAAAATAACCCTTAAATTCCTAGTGAGGCCTTTACCACATTCCCTCTAGTGTTCCAATATAATATTTGATCCATAAACATAAAATGGGTTTGGAAAAGTCCAGATAAGCACGACCCACACACTAATTAAAATTGTGTTTCGGGCACCACGGACACTTCACTTTGGGCTCTCTCGACCTCATCGCTCAATAGATTAGATATATTCGGCCTATTATGCTCAGGCCTAGTTCCTCCATCCCTTCCTCAATTATCACCAGGATCATGAGGAAAAGGAGCAAAACTACTAATATAGTCCATCTGCTCTTCCCTAAAATTTTCATGCGCGATATTATTATCCCCATCGGCACCCAACTTCCTCTTAACTGAGTTCTCTTCCTTCGTGTCATCCATTATCAGCATTAAAATCTTGTTTGTTCCTTTGTGGTTCACAAACATCTTGTGAGATCTCTTTTCTCTCTTCCCCTGCTCAACTCATTTAACGGCTCGTTCAGAAATTCTTGCTGGGACCACCTCTGTAGGCAAACCGTTTTGCTTGGTGGGCCTCTTGCTCTGCGCAGCCTTTTTCCCCCACGCATAACGTACATTAGTAGTGGTAGCATTTGCAAATGGTACGTTCTCCATATCCGATACTGCAAGTATGGCATTATCTTCTATTTCTTTAGTTAAATCAAAATTATTATTTTCCACGTTAGCCAAAACCTCGAACCTCGTCCTTGAGCTCGGTTGCCAGAGACTCTCCCTTGCTTTCTCCTTTCCCCTCCTCTGTCACCGGGGTTTTTGAACAACTCTCCATACTTCTTGATCATTGCCTCTTTTATCTTCAACATCCGTCCCTGTGTTCTGTACACCCAAGTCATTGCCACTCTGGTTCCCTCCATGCTGATCTGTGGCTTGTTTTCTTAAAGGACAAGTCTCATTACGGTGCCCATAAAACCCACAGTTTAGACAAAGAGAATGGAGGCCTTCATATTCCAGATAGTAATCCTCACCATCTAAAGAAAAACCAGACATCAACTGTTTACCCAAATCAATCATAACGCATATTCGAGCATAGTGTCCTCTAAGTTGTGAGGACGTGTTAACATCAACTTTAATAGTCTCTCCAATCCTGTTCCCAATGCAAGTGAGAGCCTCCTCATCATAAGACTCTAAAGACACCCTTGGCAGGTGTACCCAAACCGCCACTTTATTTATTTTTGCTTTGGCGGGATTGAACTTAGGTTCCCATGGTCTCATTGTCAAATAGTGATCATAGATCATCCATGGACCTCCTGTTAAAGCATTGAAATAATCCTCCCTATTTGATAGTTTGACTACAAAATAGCCATAGCCAATGTTGATCAAACTGATGATTCCACGTTTCGCCCATAACGTCTAGAGTCTAGTTTCTAATGCTTTATAGCCAATACTGTGATCTAACAGCTTCACAATCACTGCCTTTTTCCATGCTTGGTATAGCCTCTTTTTCATCCTACTCGAGAAATGAAATGTAGGAAAATTTCTCTTTGGATCTTCCCTTATTCGCACCAAGGGTTCTTTCTTGTTAGTTTCGGATTCTGAGTGCGAATCTTCAGACATAATATCATCGGATATAGCATCATCTTTTTCATCTTCATCATCAGATTGATCATCCTGATGATTGACACCTTTCAAAGTCTCCGCAAATGTCAAACCAAACGTCTTAGCCGAGACAGGGGTCGCCTCAAGCTTTGGCCATTGATTCAAATTTGAGCAATCACCTTTCTCCATGTTAAGATGTTTAATCTTTTTAGAGCTCCTCTTGAGTAGATCATTTTCCTTGGTAAACGGAGGAATAAGTGTCAAGCTTCTCTCAGCAGGAACGAGAGCCATTCCACTCGCTTAGAACAACTATAACAGGTCCAAAATTAATAGGTCATGCATGTCAATTTCTTGATTACTAGTACTACCGTTTGAAATTATACCAAAAAAAAAGAGGTATTGCCCTTTCAAACTTAGAGCCTATGGCTAACATTTTTGCTTCTTTTCTAGGAAACGTCACAACAATCACAAGCCAATACTATCTCTTATCATTAATTTAAAAACTAGTCAAAAATTCAATATGGTTCTAAATAAAAGATTAAAATCTATTTATCTTTCAATATTTATCCATTTTGCTCATAAATAATTCTTATGGAGATTGTACATGTTAAGAAATTTCATAAAAAGATAATCTAAATGCACATAATTGATAAAGGTAATTTAGAAAAAACAACGGTCATTTATTAAAAATAAGTAACATAAATAATTTTCTTAATATGTATACATTAGTTATATAGCTTTTATATGCCCCTCCAATCCTTAATATATGACCTAATTTGGTAGAGAAGGAATTAAGGAAAATGATTAGAATGTTTGGGAAAAAAACCTTATTAACTAATTTAACTAACATTCTTAATCTACTTAAATTAGTTAGTTAGGTCTTAGATTAAACACTCGAGGAGTATCAAGTATTGGAGGTAGTATTTTTCTCAGCTCACTTAAAGACCATGCACTATTAGAAAAAAGGCCTTTAAGGGCGGTTAAAATAGCTTTCTACGATGATTTTATAAGCATATACTTGGCTCAAAACAACATACTTGTGGGAGAATCCATGTTGGTGGTGGCTTATTTTTCTCCTTGGCCACAACATTGAAACTATAAAAAGCCCTATCAGCAATCAGAAGAAAATGATATTAGAGCACATTTTTGTAAACTTGACGCGTAATAAATATATAAACATAAACTCACATGTCAATAACATCTTTGGTTTCTCTTGTGGACCTCCACGAAGGAGATCGAGCCAGTAGACTTTGTTATCAAAGGCGTAAAAACAATGAGAGCCTAATAATAAATATAGAATACAAACCATGTTAATTATAATCTTATATATATACTTATGTATCTCAAATACAATAATATACTTACCCTTCCACGTAAGGTGTAAAATATAATTTCTTTCTTGTTTGAGTTATTGTGGTCATCATGTAGATCGACCTCGTTTCTATAGTACTTATTATTTTCTACATCTTTTGAGGACACATAAAGCCATATGTGCCCTCAAGTCCTCTATCCCGACAGACGCAAGTAAAATGTCTGTTATTCAAATAAGAAATATTAGGATATGCACAAGTATAACATGAAATAAGAAAATGATATTGTAACTTACTAAATAACCAGTTGTATGAAGACTATATCTTGGTCCTCAAAATTCAGGAATTGAACAAAGTCCTTCTTGTCAATGGTGAAGTCATATATTAAATCTGAACCCACAATCCCCACCAGCATGTTGAAAGTAAGGGCGTTCTCCATATTTTTTCACCATAGAATGAAGAAGCCCCAAACTTCCATACATAACCCTAATGTGAGCAAGAAGAGGCTGGAAGGCAAGATTTGCGCTCTTTGTCATCTTTTTTGCTGTCGCTTTTTTTGCCGCTGCTACTGATTTTCGAACAAGCCTTTTTAGCCACAAAATGAAATTTCTTTTAACCTAAGCCAGTAATCGAACCTTATCAGTAGGGTTGGCACTGGTGTACCACCTTGACCATTATGAACCTTATCCACTGTCACCCTCACTTGATCATTCGAAACTTTCTTGTTGTGGATCGTTATGCCCAAGAATGCTCGACCATTAGCAACATGACGAGATGAACCTTCAAAGTCCACATAGAGAGCACACGACAATCCATTGTCTTTGATAGGGTCAGGGCTAGGGTTAGGATCAAACATTGTTAGTTATTGTGTTTGATTATTATTGCCCTTCCCACTTTTAATCATAGGTAAACCTTGAAACATAGAAAGAAATTACTTAAGGCACAGTAAATAAGTTTAAATGGATGAAATGAACTTTGAGAAGATTTGAAAAGATATGTGATTGTTACCTATGACGGTTCAGACACTCAAGGCATCTGGAATCCAGTTGTTCTCATTATCATCATCACCTGTTGAAACTTGGCATCAAACTCCTCACGCATCGTTTGTATCTCTGCCTTGTGTTCTTGACTAAGTTGAGCTCGAACTCTCTCCATTTCTTCTTGTAATTGCTAGTCAAGCTCCTTTTTAGATACCATGTCTGCGGAGAATGAACTAGTACTTCTTCATGAAGCAGGGCCAAAGAACTGTTTAATGCTAATCCCTTTAGGGCCCCCTCTAACTTAATTGGGACAGTCGACCTTTACAATCACAGTGGCTAAGATATTCATCCATCCATGAGGAACAAACGTACCTTGGGATACTTACTCCTCAAATGTATCCCGTAACATTAAAGCAGCAAATTTAATTTAAGATAATGGAAAAAAGCAGTTAATGAAGCATAATATTTGATATTACTTACAATTCTCTTAGCAACAGCAGCAGTCTTTGGAGTGATATATTGACCTTTTTTAACCCTCGTCGTCTTTTATTTTTCTTGGTGAGAAGGACGCTGGATGGGTGGAATAACTCTAATAGGGTCTGAAGTAGTAGCCATATGTGCAGCTTGCAACTGCTCCTCCATCATACTTCTTTCTAACCCATTATACCCTCCACAATACATGGTATGTGGGTACACATTCAACTCAGATATTTGTTTATTCTTCCTACTCAGTACCTATGACAATGAAACAAATTTAACATAGTTAGTTTAGTTAAATAAAATATAAATTCATTTATAACTAAGTTTGAAGAAACCAAACCTGAAATGTAAGGACTTCCCGTTGCTTTGCAAACCTCTCCCATGCCTCATCACTAATAAAAGAGTATCGATCCTTAGGATACTTGCCCTTTTTTTTTTCTACGGAGATACTCTCTTATAAGCATATATTTAAAATCTCTCCACCGTTTATCAAGTTACTTTAACACACGATGTTTCATCTCCTTTGTTGCGAGAATATCAAATGTAAGCTATAATAAAATACAATAGAGTTAGAAGTAAATAATCAATTATAATTGAAATAAATAGAGAAAAAAATTCTTAATGTACCAAAATATCCTCCCAAAGCTTGTTCTTCATATTTTCCTCTATCATCCTCTAATTAGGAATGTCAATTCCAATCTTACTACGTGTTAGATAACCCACATAACTATTAAACTGAGTCCTTTCAGGACCTACAGCCTTCAAATTATTATCAAACTCTGTTGTTATCCTTGTGGGCTGTGTAGTCTCATCATGCAAAGCCAACTTCTTCATACATGTCGGCCTTCTACCCCTTTTCTTACTACCAAAAGAGTTGTCGTCACTGATAAAGCCCAATTTTTATATATTTTGTCTCACATTAATTTAGGATTTAAATGATAATTTTGAGCTTAATTGGATTTTTATGCATTATTGGATAAATTGGTTGATTTTTGGATTTTGCATAAAAACTGAGATTTTGGATTGAAAATATGAATATTTTGTGATTTCCTATTTTTGACTTATAATTAATTTTTCTATTTCTATGGAAATAAGTCTCATGTTTTTAGAAAGATTATTTCTAGAAAGTTTTGCAATTTCTTGCCTAATTTTTGTGCATATCTTATATTTAATTTTTGATTATATTTGGATATAATCTACATTAATGGATGCACTTAAATTCTTGTAGGTCAAGAAAGGGTACATAGGAAATCTAATGGTGCAAGATTGTTTCTTGGGATTTAAACACAATCCAATGGCTAATATCAAATGGGTCAATTAATTACTAATGGGCTTGAGTTTTGGATCCAAGAGAATTTCCTTTTCTTCCATTAAAATAATCCCTCCAGCCTACGCCTAGCATCACTCTCTCCTTCTCCATTCAGACACGCACGAACAAAATTCAATGCCAAGATCTCTCTTCCTTCACCGATCCCTCTAGTCTGACGCCTTGCACCATATTTCCTTCGTTCCATGTTCAAAAAAAAATCACCGTCCTCTCTCACCATCATTAATTCACATCCTCTTCTTTCTTAATCCACGTACAATCCACATAATAATCATCTTCTCTTCTTTACTCCTCATGGTTGCGGCATCTAATGACTTTGGAGGGAAGATAATTTTCATGGAGGCTTAAGCTTGCTAGGGAGGCAACTTGGGAGGAGCATAGATGAAACTTGAGTATTCGGCTAGCACTTGAAGACCACGGGGAGTGATATTCCATTTATCCTTTTAATTCAAGGACTTGAAATTATTTAGTTTTAAATAATTTTAAGTTGTATTTTTGTTGAGACAATTTAGTTCTAGATTGTCACTTTTATTCTTAGATTGGATTGATATTTGGATCTTATTTGTGCTGAGATACTTGTTGGAATTTATATTTATGAACCATTGCATTGTTAATTGAATTTATAACTGAGTTTTCATTATGAGTTTAATTATCAATGTGGTTTGAATTGCAAAATTTGGGTTCTTTTGCCTCTTAATTGTTTAATTAAGTTGGTTAATTGTCTGATTGTTTAATTGGATAATTTCAAACATAATTTCCAGAATTAATTTGAATTAATTTCATTGGTTTTAATAAGCTTAATTAGCCATCCTTACACTGTTATGAGTTCTCTAATGGTTTAAGGGTTTTGAAATTGAGAGTTTCCTTTATTTCAAGTAGGCAATTAAGTTTATTAATTCCTCTCTCTTATCACCTCCCTTTAGTCTAATTAACTGATTAAGGTTATGAAAGTTAAATCCATGCGAATCCTAAGTTGTCCCCTCTGCCTTACTGAAGAGAACTTCTCAATTTTCACTTGTTAATTTTCTTTGCTTTTTAGTCAATTTTCTTCATTTATCATTTTAATTTTTTCCAAAAAAATCCCCCCCCAAAATTTGCATTGCATTCATTTAAGTTTAATTTATTTTCATATAGATTTTAGGACATTTGCATCTTTCATTTAGAATTAGAATTTTACATTTTAGTTTAGGTCCAATTTATTGCATTTTTTTTATCACCTAAATTTTTACCTAGAGAAACCCATAACTTGCTCCTTGAAAGTAATGACCTAGGTCGATCCTAAACTACAAATTAATTAGGGCCTAGTTTAATTGAGTGCTTTGACGACAGAGGCATCATTAGTCGCCAGAATCTTGTTGATCGGATCTGTCCATTTCCTGTTCACATAACAACCAACAAATGTAAGAATAAGAAACATCAAGTAAATTTAATAAAAAACATCATATTATGAATAAATAATGAAAAGATAATAAATGATAAATATCAAATAAATTTAATAAGAAACATCAAATAATTTATTTAGGCCTTACAATGATTATCATCCCAAATTCCTTCACAATGATCATTCCTAATAATATAGTCATCATCTACCAAATCTAATTTAGCTGTTTTAGGTTGAGTGGCTGTGAAAGGTAGGGTTTTGTCAAGATTGGACTTTGAGTTACTATCATTTCCACTAACTCCTTGCCTCTTACCTTAGAGCATGATGGACAATTTTTTCTTTGCTAAATTAATGACATAAAATACTTATTTCGCTTGACTTGCTAAAATAAATGGCTCATTTCTATATCTAACCCTCCCAAGATCAATCGAAACAAATCCAAGTTCTTCATCTTATAATAGCCCCCGTAACAAATACACAATTACTTAATTCCAAAATAATAATTAATTCTTTAATAACCAATATAATCGAAAGGGTTAACCAAAAATATTTAGGTAGTAACTATGGAGGAAGAATAAATCATATAATTAAAAAAAACTACCATAGTCATAAAAGACTCCATTAATTACTTGAAAGGTCAACCATAGTAAAAAGAACAAAACTAATCAAGTAGAAGTCTATCATAGTTATCAACAATTCGCATCTATTATAAAGCAGTAGTCACTATTTCATAATAGCCAAAATGATTAATATAACAAGAAATAACCAACACTTGATTTTCATGGATATGCCAAATCCATTAACAATACTCTGGGATCTCAAAATACAACTGAAACAAGTCATAAATAGGCTAGGGCATTTGAAGTCTGTCAAAATAAGTACCACTATTGCCCATATCAATCGCAACTAGAATAAAAGTCACATATATCCAAAAAGGACTTCGCCCAACAGTATAACCCTAGAATACAGCAAGAAAAACTCAAAATATGTTAAGTATAACAAAAGGACCCTAAAGTTTGGCAATATACATCAATCAAAGCATGTATGACAAAACAGAAGCAATACAGAGAGGAAAGAAAAAATCAAGACTCGGACAACTTCCCCTTGGGACCAACACTTGAACCCTTGCCTGAAAAATATTAAATAACCACGTGGTGAGACAAATTGACCTAGTAACCACAATTCCAATTCAACAAGTATACATAGAGTGATTCCAAGATAATTAAGCAGGTAAAGTACAATCTCAAATAATAGATAGAGTAAACATCTTTACAAAAACAATATATAATAATTCAAAAGTAACTTGCATGCACAAAATTTCATCAACTGTCCTTATAACCTCCTTGTAACATTTGACAAAACCCATGGGCTATTCACACATAACAGGATTCGTCTCTTTAACAAGACTGCACCAAGCTCTCCAATAATGAGGTATAACTTAGCCAAAAGTTACAGAGCTCATATTGGACCATGAGTTCTCTTTCCTTAGAATACGGAAAGGTGTCATGTCCTTGGACTGACCCTTAACCAACCAAAGAAAGGGTGATACCGAGGGCCCTAAGAATATTAAAGCCAGCCACTAGGCACCAAGTGACAGCTATACCACTTGGTATAAAATAATCAAACCTCCCACAATTATATTTCAGCACAATCCAATACAGCTTTATAAGCATTTCACCCATCCAATTCCACATAATCTAATATTCATAAAGTATTCTCAAATTCAATAATCAACTTTTATTCAACATCAACAAGATAGTCACAAGATATAATAATTCATGCCCACTTAACTAATAAATTTATAAAACATAAATTTATATATATTGTTCACTTTTTATACGTAAATCACCATAATATATAATGATAACATTTTTAATACCAACACATGCTTATAATCACATCAACAAGTATACAAGGGAAATTAGAAAGTGATTACCTCAAGTTCTTGACACAAGAACTAAAATAGGAGGATTCAAGACTCAAGAGCCCAAACCAAACTCACTCTATAATAATAAATTTATAAACATATATTAATAAAAAATAATTAATATAGCATTGAAATAGTTTATTAATTAAATC